TCTTGCCACCATGTTAGTCTCTGTGGTACTTGTGCAGCTGTGGCCTCTGGCTTCCCCTTTAATCAGGAACTGAAAGTGGGTAGGAGGGCTTTTCCCTTCATCCCTCACACTCTAGCCCTTTGCATACTCTGGGCAAGGCTTCCTCCTGCCACATCTCTGTCTGGGGCAAGGAAATTTGTCATTTGTCTCATCAAGCACAGTGCTAGATTGGTTACAAGGTCATTGCAACGCTTCCTAGGTAGCGTGTTTGCCCAGGGAACACATTTGCTCCTGCCACATTGGGGCCCTTCTCTTCTGCCCAACGATCTGGCTAGATCTACCTGTACCAACATTACCAAGAACTAAATATTTAATACTTAAATTATATGGAAAGATATCCAAACTCTTTCTCAGAAACAAACAGTTGTAGTCTCAACTCAGCAGAGAATTTTGAGATCCTGCTCTGTGCTAGCCTCTGTATTACATCTGTTAGGTAGAATTTATTCAGTCAACTTTTGTTTTGTTCCTATTGTGTGCTGTGCACCGTGGTAGTTCCTGTGAGCATAGGGGTGTATAAATCAAAATTCAGGACCTTCTAGGACCACACCCCGTAGTAGCAGAGACAGGCAAGTAAATGGATAATTAAGGTACAGTGTGGAGAGCGATATACGTGACATGTCCACAATCCTAGGGAATCTTGGAGGAGGCATACTTGACCCTGCCTGGGGATTGGAATGTAGGGAGTGTTCCAAGGAAGTATTCCTGAAGGAATTGGCACTTGAACCGAACCTTTCTGAAGTGCTATAGCTGTAGAACAGAAACGGTCTCTCACTCTTAAGATTTCATGGAGTCAGGCTGCTCAGAGCAGTCTGTGCTTTGGACAACTTTATTATTAAAGCTATGTAAATACAAATTCTAGCTAATTAGCAGTTATATTTTCGTATAATGATTCTCATTTTCCAAGTCAAGTACATAGCATTGTATAATGTCAGTTTTTTGTTCGGAATGGCTTCAGATTCCTAGGGTTAGTGATTTGCTTTGTTCTTTTTTATTCATGAGAAGTGGGCTCAGAGAAGGAGGAATGAGTGAGACTAAGAATGATCTAATTACCTTAGGAATGATTTTCTTCCTAAAACAGTTATGAGCTTTGTTGAATTTTCTGTACAGTTTAATGGCTTTAAGAATTTAAATTAATTTTTTAACCCTCACCCAAGGATATATTTATTGATTTTATAGAGAGAGGAAGGGAGACAGAGAGAGAAGCATTGATGTGAGAGAGAAACATTGATGTGAGAGAGAAACATTGAGAAACATTGGTTGCTTCCTCTATGTGCCCTGATGAGGGACGGAACTGCAATCTAAGCATGTGCCCTGGCTGGGAATTGAACCCCTAACCTTTTGGTGTACAGGACAACACTCCAACCAACTAAGCTACTCAGCTAGGGTTTGGGGGGGGCTACCAAATTATTTGTTTTGAAGGAATGGTACAAATGAAAGTAGATGATTCATACAAGTTAAAGAGAAGGTAAAGGTAACTGCCACATGCGTGTACTGCTTTGGTGACCAGCAACGTCATTCCTGTGGCCATGGTAAGGCAGCCTGAGGCTTAGCTGTCTATACTGTCTCCCAGAGTGTGCTTGTCAAAGAGATGCTCTGCCATGCCAGATTCTCAGGTGCCCAAACTGTGCAGGTCAGGTTACTTGGTCACCCAAGTCTTTGATGGATTTCACCTGCTCAGCCAGGTAGTGAGTCTCAGTGAAGTCACACAAATGAGGGTCATGTTTTTCAGTGGCCAGCTTAGGCAAGTCCAGTAGTGACTGGTTTCACACTTTTACCCAAGTGTAATGCACACTCCATTGCATTCAGCCCATCCTCCTAGTCATCACTGGTTCTTGATACACTGAAGGAAGATTCAGCCACCTCATTGGTTCTACAGCTTTATCAGTTTCTCAGCATGTTCTCTCTCCTTATGAGATTGGTGAAGGAAATATTTGGCAAAGTTTTTCAAAGCCACATCATTGCAGTCAAAGTAGTAAGACATGGACAGGTAAACATAGGTAGCATAGAGCTCCAGGTTGATGTGGTGGTTGATGGCAGCTTCTGAGACCTGATGGTAGTTGTGGCACACCTGCAAGGTAGATATAGCTGTTGTGATGTGTGACTGAGGAAGGTGGCTTTGTGGCACAGGAGCAGTGGTGGGGGCCTTGGGGAGGTCCAGGGGCGCTGTGAAGAGATGGCAGAGGATGGATCTGGGCGTTGAGTAGGATAGGGGTTGAGCACCAGGTTCTGTTCAAGCACTGGTGAAGCAGGAAACCACAGTGACAAAGACTATAAAAATTAATTTTTAAATATGCTTGCTAATAGATTATCAGACTGGCTTAAAAATTATTTGAATTTCTTTTTCTTAATGTAGCATGTGTTGTTGCAGAAATATATCTATATCTTCATCCAAGTTAGTTTTAGAGAATAGTTCATTTATCTTTTCCATTCTGGAATGTGTATTTCATTAAAGAAAACATATTGTTCACATTCATTTTTACTTTTTGTTTTAGAATTAATTTTTAAAAGGTCTAGCTGATAAACTTAGTATTTTGCAAGCTTTGTTTTAAGAGCAAATGTTTTGGGGAATATGCCATTAATATTCCTTCTACTAGGATGATATTGATTCATTGAGACAAACTGCAGAAATACTTCAATTTTTAGAATTTTATGTTTTCTTTTACAAAGCACTGAAGTGTACATCTGTTGAGCTTTTCAGAATACTTTGCTGATTGGCTGACTCTGAGGAGGCAGATTGAATGACTGATGTGCTGTTATCTACTGTTGCCCAGATGAGTTAGAAAGGGAGGGAAGAGTGTCAGAGTGTCCTGGAACATGTGTCTAGGATGCTAAAACAATTACATTTGAAATTTAATTCCTCCTGTTGTAAATATAATTGTGCAAAATAGGAAATTTAAAAAAAATAGAAAAAGTAAAAGGAGGGGAAAATATAATCTCATCAGTCAGAGATAGTATTTAGCATCTGATATATTTTATAGGCATATTATTTTAAAAGTATGGTTTTGATATTTTACAGAGTTGTGAACATACTATGTGTATGTGTGTATTCCATTTAGTGTCCAGATTTTAATCTAGTTACCATTATAATACATTTTTTATGTTAGTATAAATGCTTTTAAGTATATCTTAATGATTGTACTGTAAGTATACCATGACTTATCTAATTATTCCCCTATTGTTAGATATTCAGGTTGTTGTCTAAATGGGTTATTATAGGTATGATAAAGTCTTTTTTGATAGAAATTTTTATTGAAAGAGAACACATATACAGTTCATGTATGTGTACATGTACATAAGTATACAGCATTTGAATTTTTCATAGGTCAACACACCATGGAAATTACTGCCTATGCCAATAAATGTTTACTAAGTGAGCACAGCCACTTTAGCATACTCAGGCCAGGAATTAGAACTTGACCAAGCTTGTGCCTCTAGTCACTCTTCCCTCCTTCTGTCTCCAGCAGGTAATCATTAACCTCACCTCTAATCACATAGATCAAATTTTGCGTAGAAGGTCTACATTTAATTTCCTTTAGATTTCCGAAAGAGGGTTACTAGGTCAAGAAGTATGGCTATTTTAAAATATCTGAGTTCATATAGCAGATTGCTTTCAAAATGTCATGTTATTTTATTACCACGTTGTATGAAAATATGGAAAGGACTTTTGTTTCTGAGTGTGGGAGAGGAGAGATATGAGGGCCAAGTGTAAAGAGACAGAGTTTTGGACTGTGAATTAAGTACCAAATTGGATCATATTACTTTAGGGAAATTCCAGCAGAGTTTTGAAGTTTTATTTTACCCATCTTGAAAATGTTCCTATGTTCTTTCTGGACATTGCTAGTTATTGTGGCAGAAAGAAAAAAGCCTGATGAACCATGCACTTGTTCGTAAGATCTGGATTCAAGTGACACACAGACTCCTGCCCATGTTACATTGGCCAAAGAAAGCATATGCATTCAGTAGAGCCAAAGGTATATAATATAATCTTCCCACAGGGAGATGTACTACAGGGAGGGAAGTTGGAATGTATGGCAAATAAAAATACCAGTCAGCACACCTTCCATCTGATGACTTTTTGCCTCCCCCATGAGGGGATCAGATCATTTAGATTACTAAGTCTTTTATTATAGAAGCACAGCTTAGCCTTGCAGGGGGAGGTTCTGCATCTCCGTATAGAAGTGTAACTCCTGTAATTATTGGAGGGGCATTTGTGGGTTGCTGAACTTTTTGCAGTGTGCATACTTCTTTCCTAAGGAGAGGCCCAGAAACGTGTATTCACTAAGAGGTGATGGGGAAATGCTAAATTTGGTGTTTTAGATACCTTTGGTGGAAAGCAATTCCTCTTTAGGACACAAATTTTTATAGGTGGTTTATACATACTGGCTACATGCTCTCTGGGAAACGATTCAGTTATTGCTTTCCTAGTCCCTGGGGAGTGACACAGAATTGTAGAGGATTTTTCCTTGGCATGGCAAGAGAATTGGCTTGGCTTGTTCAACAAAAGGCCTCCAGGTTATCAGGCACACCTTTTTGTTGTGGTTAACATTCTGTCTTTATCCTTTACTTCTATAATTTACATTCTTTTCTATTGTCATTCTTTTAAATATAGCTACTTTGTAGTATTAATTCTTGATTTTTTAATATATTTTAAAATATATTTGATTTATATTTGATTATGCTATTGCAGTTGTCCCATTTTCCCCCCTTTTTGCCCCCCTTTTTTTCCCCTCTTAACCTTAAGAATAGGTGGTGGGTAAGGCCTTGGAGAGTAATGGAAAACTGTAATTGAACAACAATTTTAAAAATCTTAAAAGAAAGAATTGTTTCTCATTTCACTTTCTCCCTGTGTCTTCAGGGAAGACTCTGATGCTCAGAGAGACAGTTACATGGTAGTTGTTGGTAATGCTGTGGTATTAGGTGAGCTCTGATTTAACATTGTGTCTCTCTTTTATTCCCTAAAGATTTTTTCTCTCTAGGGATGGTGAAGTTGGAAAAAAGCTCCTGTAACTCCCCTCCAGAATGAACTCCCTGCCAGAAGACATGGAGAATGCTCTCACAGGGAGCCAGATCTCTCATGCTTCTTTGTGCGATGTCCACTCAATCAACCCTACACAGCTCATGGCCAGGATTGAGTCCTATGAAGGAAGGGGGAAAAAAAGCATATCTGATGTCAGGAGGACTTTCTGTTTGTTTGTCACCTTTGACCTCTTATTTGTAACATTACTGTGGATAATAGAGTTAAATGTAAGTGTTTTTTCCCCCATGACTATATAAGAATTGTTTCCAGAGACAAACATAATTTTCTTATTTAATTATTTATTTAATCCTCACCTGAGGACATTTTTTTCATTGCTTTTAGAAAGGGAGGGAGGGAGGGAAGGAGGTCGATTTGCCACTTCTTTATACACGTGACAACCAGGGATTGAACCCATAGCCTGGTTATGTGCCCTGACTGGGAATTGAACCTGTGACCCTTTGGTCTGTGGGACAGTGTTCCAACCAACTGAGCCACACATGCCAGGGCTCTTATTTTTTTTCATCATTTCTGTCTCAGTTAGTGAATTCCATTTTTTTTTCCAATTGAGGCAACATTGGTCTTCTCCAGCTGAGTTGGACATTTTTTTTTCTGTACTGTTATTCTTTAAATCAAACCTAGTTAATTTAAAACTCATTTTGTCCGGGATTTTGAAATTTGAATTCATGGTGTTTTGCTCTGTAACAAGAGTTGGCACACTACAGCCTGGAGGTGAAGTGCAGCTGGACTACTTTTATAAATAAAGTTTTATTGGAATACAGCCCTGCCCATATTGTCTATGGCTGGGTTTTATGCTGAGTGATTGGACTGAATAGTTGTGAGAGAGTCCCTTTGTCCCACAAAGACAAAAATGCTTATTCTCTGGCCCTTTTCAGAAAAAGTTTTCTGATTCTTCCTCCAAAGAAATCTAGCATGCTTCTGGAATATGTTCTAGATGTTGCATCTACTTTTCTAATTCCCATACTTTAGAGCTTGCATGTATTTACTCTACCTTTTTGCAAACAGATTATTTATATTTTATTAAAAAATGTTAGAGAAGCATTTGGAGATTTGTCTATATTTTGTCAGGTTTATGCCGTTATATTGTTAAGTAATTGTCTAAACCAGTGATCTTCAACATTTTTCGTCTCATGGCACACATAAACTAATTTTAAAATTTCTACAACACACCAAAAAATATATTTTTTGCCAATCTGACAAAATATAGGTATAATTTTGGCTCATTCACACCAGATGACTATTGTCGTGTTGGCTGTTGTCATTTTTTTTATTTGACAATCTAAGGGAAAAGAGGTCAGTCAGTGCCCCTGATTAAATAGTCAGGTATGGCATGCTTTAAAAACTGTTGTTGCATACCAGTTGAAAATCACTGGTCTAGACCAGTACTATCCAATAGAAATAGGATGCAAACTTCATGTGCTTTTTTAAGTTCTCTAGTTGCTACATTTATTTAATAAAAGTAAAAGTAAATAGGTGAAGTTTACCTTGATGTATTTTATTTAATCCAAAATAATGTTTTCTCCAAAAGCCTTGGTTTTCTGTTTACCTTTCTTACCAACAATAATAGGTAAACTCTTCCAAAATGCTTTTCTCCCAGGCAAAAGTGGTCTGCTCTCTTCACTTTCCAATAGTTCATTTATTTCTAAGACATATTTGCTATCTCCTAGGTAGTAATAGTTATTGGTTGTTGTTTTTTTATTAAGAGGTTACTCTTTGCTAGGCATAGTGCTAGGTGCTTTATGAGAAATTTAATAAAATAGAAAAAATATGAAAAGATGCTGAGATTCTTGTTTGAAAGAAGTTTTTGATTTTGCCTTTTTATATAGAGTCAACATCTCAATCTAAACTTCAATATTTTGATTCATAACAGAAATTTTAGTTCTAGACTCTAAACTCTTAGACATTAGGTTAATTGGACTCATTGAATTATACCTTAATAAAGAAACAAAAGCCACTTAATGAAAGCAGATACTTATATTAGAAAATAAGATTTATTTCAGAATTATAGTAATATGCAGCATGAATCTGTTAACAGTTTCTGTCTACAGAGTTTTCTTCTGTTAATGTAGCACTGTAGATACACCTTATTTTTGTTTAAAACCAACAAACCCCTGGCTGGTGTAGCTCAGTGGATTGAGTGTGGGCTGCGAACCAAAGTGTCGCAGGTTTGATTACCAGTCAGGGCACATACCTGGGTTGCAGGCCACGGCTCTCAGCAACCGCACATTGATGTTTCTCTCTCTTTCTCCCTCCCTTCCCTCTCTAAAAATAAATAAATAAAATCTTAAAAAAAAAAAAAGAAGAAGTGAATAGCTGCCATGAAAATAAAAAGCAAAGAAAGCTCTAGTGGGAAAAAACAAACAAACAAACCAACAAACCACTGATATGGCACAGTAATTTCGTATCTCTTTTACTATGTGTTCCACATGTACACGTTAAAGAAAATATTTAAATGAATGTATATTTAAGGAGTAATATATTTTCAAAACTAAAAGCTATATAATGAGAGATGAAAAAGAAATGCATCTTTTGACAGGACAGCATAGCAGCAGTTTTAGGAGAGCACACTGAAAAATTGTGGTGGCAGCACAAAATGAAGGACCTCATTGGTTTACCACTGATCTCACTATGTGCCTTTAACTGACAGAGGCCATGGGACAGAGCTACGATCACAGGATCTCACTTCTCACTTCTTTTTATTGCTTCAAAAAAACTGAACTGGAAGTGAAGTGGGTTGCACTCGGTCTCGCTCATGAGAAACTATGTTTACATCTATGTAATGTGTTAAAAATGAAAAATCACCAGCCCTAGAATGAAGAAATGCACTTTTATCTTCACTTTTCCATTGACTTCTGGTTTCCCTGGCTATAAAATTAAAAGATCAAAAGAAACAAGCAAAATATAACCAAAGTCACTGAAATAGGGGATAGTCTGACAGTGACTAGAGGGGAGAGAAGAGGCAATATCAGGGGAGAATGGGAAGGGTTTACAGGAACAAATTTAAAGGACACGTGGACAAAAGCTAGGGGGAGGGTGGTAATGGGAGGGAAGTGGGGAAGGTTGGGTGGGTGGGCTGGAACGGGAGTAAATGGGAGAAAACTACTTGAACGATGATTAAAATAAAACTTAAAAAAAATTAAAAGATCACACAAAGTATATGATCTCTAAGACAGTATGTCATGACTTTTTTAAATAAGATTTTTAAAAAAAACATTCACTTTCTAGTTTAGTTTGTTTTGATTTGTCAATTCTGACTTGGATTTTTCACTACACACTGACCATCCATTTTCTTTTATCTCTCTAAATCTCTAATCATTCAAATTGATTTGTTAAATTATTTTCTTTTGTTGTTCAAGTACAGTTGTCTCCATTCTCCCCCCACTACTCTCCTCCACCCCACCCACCTCCCACCCTCAATCCCACCCTCCTTTGTCTTTGTCCATGGGTCCTTTATACATGTTCCTTGATGACCTTTCTTCTTCTTTCCCCCATTATTTCCCTCCTCCCTCCCCTCTGGTTACTGTCAGTTTGTTCTTCTGTACCTTAACTGAGCACCAGGGTACAGGCTGCTGATTCAGGTGTTGCGAGTTCCACAAAAGCTACATAAGATAACAAGTTTAGCTTAGGAGATATACATATCTTATATTGCCTCTAGTGTTGGTCTTCAAAAAAAGAAAGAAAAAGTATAAAGGTTACTTAGGCCTTCAGAAGCATATGGGGACCAAACCGTGCTATGCAATCATAACAGTAACGTAATACTTTGCTTTATATATGACTTCCACTTAGCCACTTTTCCTTGCTCCAGGGAGTCCATGGGCACTGACCCAGCCTGGAGTGCAGGGACTGGTGAGCCTAGAGAAAGCTTATACCACTGTGATTCATTTTCTTCTGGAAGGCCTTAGGGCAGCTAATGTTTGGGGCCAGTTGAAGGGATGGTTTTGATTCTGTGTAGGGCTGCCTATTGCACCCCTGAATGAACTGGTTGCCCAAATGGGATCTGGAATTCACCACAGCTTGAGTTCCCTGAGGACTCTATTTTCTGTCCACACTCTTCTCCCTTAGTCTCTTCAGACTGATAAAGACAGGGATCTAAAAAACAATAGAAAAGTTTTTTTTTCAGCTTTTGATACTTTGAGATTATGGTTCAAAAAAGGCCTTTGCTTGTTTCCTTATTTTCTAACTGTATACTAGAAAGTGTCAGAATGCTTCTAATTTGACCAAGAACAATCACGACCAGTTCTGTGGCCTTAAAAGGCAAGCCACTTAAGTTCTCCAGGTTTAACACCTGTGTTGCCTTCCTTGTGAATTCCTTTGAGAATCAAGTAAAAATATATCCTGTACAGCAGCCCCTTGAAAGTTTTAAAACTCTTCACAATTATAGGTTATGTAATTTATTATTAACTGAAATAAATTTTACCTTGAATGAGAGGGAAAATGCTGGTTATTACTTTCTCACTATTGATACATTTGTGTTTCAGGTACTATTACCCTCTCCTTTCTGATTCTGATTTTATTACCTACTGTCACTGTGTTCTGTAGTTACACTGTGATGACCGATAATAACAGAAATGCAGATCAGAGGAAAGTCAGTGAGTTGGAATTATCTGAGGATTAGGTGGAGAAGACGGACTGAACTGGATGTGGAAGTATGGGTGGAATTTGGGATAGAAGAAGGAATTGGAATTAGTGTGGAAACAATAGGGGAAGGGTTTGGAGATCAAGGTGAGCAGAAGCACTGAGGCAGGAATATGTGCTTATGTGTGTGTGTATGTGTGTTGGAGGAGACAGGGACAGAGGAAGAGAAAATATTAGCCTAGCTAGAAAGTGTCTACAGAAAATGCCTGTAGAAAAATGAACTTGCATAGGTAAGTTGGTTCTAGACTATTAAAAGTTCTTTCCTGTGTAGAAATGTTGCACTTGCTATAATAGTGAGCTCTTACAGTTTCTAGAGAAGCCTAGAGACGTGGTTTTGAATTGTTCCAGAAGTTAGTGACTTGCTATATCGTGACCTACCTGCCATGTCCAGCTCGATGTTTAATCTAACATGGTCCACTCCTGCCTTTCCCTTTCCCCTTCATCAGTAAACTATACTCAGACACTCAGGCCACAAATATAGTCTCATTCTTGATTGTGTAGCTTGTTTTGTATTTCTCACACCTTGTATCCAGTCTAAAAGTAAGTTCTGTCAAATCTACTTCCAAGACCTAAAACAGTGGAGAGTAATTTAGAAAGTGAGGGAAGCCCTAGAGAAATGTGAATTGTCTTCTTTCAGAGTATATATTTCTAGGATTTTCAGTCTGGGCTAAGTTTTTTTCTCTTCTAAGATAAAGTTTGAGGGCTTTTTTTAATTTAAAATTTTAGTTTGCCAAAATATAAACTACAAAAAATACATTGCTTTTCATTATACATTTACATTTGTTGAATGAATTCAGAATTAAGAGGGGAATGCAATTCGGCATTTTTCTATTTAGAAGTAGGAGGGTTCTATATTTTAGCATTTCTGGATTCCTAGAAGATATGCAGAAAAGTGTATATGAAACCTTACTTGTATGTTTCTTGTATCGCTTTCACATGTAAACCTCTTTTTGTTTTTACTTTTTCCTCTTTCTTCCCAGGTGAATGGAGGCATTGAGAACACGTTAGAGAAAGAGGTGGTACACTATGACTTCTACTCTTCTTATTTTGATATATTTGTAAGTATTTTCTCTTGTATATTTTATTTCAGATATGATGACTTAACCAAAAGGCAAATTTCTTTTCAGTAGACCTCAAAATTTGTGCAGCTCTATTTGCTTTCTTTCTTGAACTCTACTTTTCTTTTTTCCTGTAGTTTCTGGCCAGTTCTATGTTGTTTCCCTCTTTATTAGAATTGTCTGTTCATCTCAAAGATAAAAGCCATTAACTATGAATCACTAAAAGGAAAGTTTATCTTTTTATGTAACAACATCATGAAATGCAATTTCTTTTCTGTCTCGACATGGATTTCAGTGTTTTTTTTTTTTTAATAACAGTCTGTGTTTCATTTTTCTCTGATAGAATTTGAGGAAAGTTATGTATTTGTAGTCTTGGACTACATTAGCCAGTTATAGAGTTATGTAGATGCATTATCTGTAGATGAGGCAGGTATTTTAGTCAAATGAATGCTGGCAGTGTCTTTCTAGGAAACACTATGACTCTGGGTTTGTTACATCTCTGTGGGATCTCTTTATAGTGTAAGGAAATCAGAGTCCAACATTGGGTTAGACACAGCATAGACAATTAAAATTCACAGTGAGTTCCCCCAAATTCATTTTAACTACTTTATTCACTGTCTGTAGAAAACTACATGCACAGTGGTTACAAGTAGGACCCTTAAAATCAGAAAAATCTGGGTTTGATTCACAACATGATTACTAGTTTTATATCTTTGAATACACTAGGTGTAAGTTTCAGTTTCCTCAGTATTTAAAATGAGATCATCATCATTCTGAAAAATTAGTGACATAATACATGGAAAACAGAAGCTCAAAGAACCACCTGTAGTCACTGTCATCATTATTTATGGTTGAGAATTTTATTTTTAAAAAGATTTTATTTATTTATTTATTTATTTTTATAGAGATGGGAAGGGAGGGAGAAAGAGAGGGAGAGAAACATCAATTTATGGTTGCCTGTACACGCCCCCCTACTGGGGACCTGGCCTGCAACCCAGGAATGTGCCCAGATTGGGAAATGAACTGGCAATTCTTTGGTTGACAGACCCACACTCAATCCACTGAGCTACACCAGCCAGCTTGAGAATTTTAATAATTATATTTTCTAATGGTTTCCAAACAGCTCTGACAAGTCTTGTTTTGTTTTTGGAGAGGCCTGCAGAATTGTGCATGGGGAAAGAAGTGGAATTCCCAGTGAGCAGAGATCAGGATTCCTTGTCATCACCCCCTTGCTGCCTAACTAGTTCCATTTTTATCTGCACAGTATGTTAGGGTTTATCTTTTTTCTATATAGTATCTTAGGCTTCATTTTCATCTGCATAGTATGTTAGGGTTCATTCTTATCTGTATTGTATATTAAGGTTTATTACAGTAGATAAAAAAGTGTTTGGCTGCTACAGAATATTTGGAAAATTACTAATGTAAGAAATTAAGTTTCATGGTTCAGTGTCTTAACTTTTGAAGTTGGTGGCAGAACATGTTATATTCTAAATCTCTTGATATTTATTTTTTGAAACTGTTGATATATAAGCAACGAATGGATTTTTCTTTTTTTTTCCTTATTGCCCTTGCTGAATTTATCTTAAAATAGCCAGAGTCAGGAATTGTCAGGAAGCCAGATTAATCAACCGGTCAGATCTCCATTGATTATCTGTATTCTAAGCTTAAGGGTTACTGGACAAATAGGTAGGTAGGGCCTGTTAGCTTAGATAGGAAAAACTGCCATGCGTGGGCTGGGAAAGGGTCACAGCCTCCAAGAAACCTTGGGATCTGGGAGACTTCAAGATAGAGACTTACCCTTTTGCCAAGTCCAGAATGCAGAGATAGACTTTAGAATGAGTTAAGAAACTAAATGATTAGGAGGTTGTTAGAAAACACATTTTTAATGAAAGCAGCGAAGTGAAAACAAATACAGTTTGGGAATGTCATTCATGTAAAAGGATCTTATGTGAGGTTATCTAGTCCACAGCACCAAAAAAGTTTAGCTTCCGGCCTTTCAGCAGTTTTGATTAGTGAGGAACTATTGGCAGACTCTGACACTGAGTTTCAAGAGTCAGCTTTACTTTTCCCAACTCAGAATAAGCATATTTCCCAAGTAAAATTGGTAAACTTTATTCTGTTTATTTCCTAATTACTATGGCAGCTGTAGTATAGTGGTTACGAGTCTAGTGGTCTTTGCAGTCAGGCTACCTGGATTCAAGTCCTGGCTTCCTCACTGAGGAGTGTGTGGTTTTGGACAGTTTTTTATCCATCGTATCTGTGGTTTGATGATAGCACTCGACTCATGTGGTTTTTGTGGTGGGGATTACATGGGATAATAATACACTAAAGAGTTTCATGAAAGTTTCAGAATTACCCTAAATAATCAGATAGTAGCTACTGACATAGGCTGAACTCTTCCAGTACTCCCAATACCCCAGAGCTTTACTGTGGGCTTGACTAAAAACCTGATACCTTTCAAAATTGAGCATTTGTACCTGAAGTGTGTAAGTCAACTTTTAGAACATGTTTACACTTAAAAGTGTATCAAAAATATAGATGGATGCTAACAGAAAGGAAAAACAAACATTTAATTTATGTATTTTTGTTGAGGATGAAAAGTTGACTTGAACACTTATTTGGGTGGCATTACATAAATTCTGGAGCAGGGCTCTCACAGGCTGATCTGCAGACCAACGTTAGTCTGTGGCAATCCTCAGCCAATCAGAATGATGAAGTACTTTGGTGGGTTCCTCATAAATCTAAATTACTTGCCTTTTGTATGTATTTTAAAAAACTTGTCTTTTTTTTTTAAATATAGCTTTTGGCAGTTTTTCGATTCAAAGTGTTAATACTTGCCTATGCTGTGTGCAGACTGCGCCATTGGTGGGCAATAGCGGTGAGTATACCGGATGAATGGTTCATCTCCTTCAGTGCTGGTGGCTGGGCCCTGCTCACAACAGGGCTGATTCCAGGCCAAATTCTACTAGTTTTTCCTGAGTCCCTTTCCTCCACACTTCAACAGGTTTAACCCTCCAGGGCTTCTTTCCAATGGTAGTGACTGACTAGGTTTGTTCGTGTGGGTACTGAGCCAAAAGAGAAATCTAGAGTCCCAACAGGATTTTGGCCAAGCATCAACCTACCCTCTACCTCATTTTACAGTGAGAGGTAAGATCAGTACTTCTGTCACAAAGATACTTAGAAAATTTCCTGTTGGTTGAAACTGCTTGGTGATTTTTTCATTACTTGCTCTCTGCTTATTTTGATAATTGCCACAAAGATACTTAGAAAATTTCCTGTTGGTTGAAACTGCTTGGCGATTTTTTCATTACTTGCTCTCTGCTTATTTTGATAATTGCCTTCCTCCCTGTTTTATTCCTTTCCCTCCAGTTTTAAAAGGAAAAGCTCTCATGCTCTTTATTATTGTTGCCTTTAGGCTTCTTTAATGCAGTGGCCTTTTTTACTCATTTGTTTCATTGCATCTGGCATAGATCTTTGACACATGCCATTCACCCTTAATAAATGTTTATTGATGTAAAGAATTATAAGCAATTCTGCATGAATCGTTTTTGCCATATCCTTAGACATCTGAACACTCACCTTTCTCAGAGCTCTAATAAGGCAGATATATGATGAGAATGTTGCTTAGGAGTAACCCACGGTCCTGCTTTTAGAATGTGAGACCAAGATCTGTGTGTGGGCTGGCATAGGCTTGTCCAGCACTCCTAAGATAGAGTGTACCAGTGGCCACCTCTGCCTGGGCCATCTCTTCTGAGCATCCACAGAATCATTAGACTATCAGTTGAGCCCCAAACTCCCATTTCATGGATGCGAGCTGACAGTTTTAGCCAGTCTTGACTCCCTGTCTTAAATATGTTTTTACCAATACTAAATAGCTGTGATGGTTGTCCCTTCCCAATTTGCTATGATAGTACCTATCTGAGTCTCTTTAACATGCAAAATGCACTAGTATTTGCCAGTCTATCTGCTTCAGTGCCCGTCCCCCTCCCCCAGGAAAGTGGTTGATACTCTGTGAGAGTTTTAAGAAAGTTATCTTCAATATCTAATTGTAAATGATCAAAGGACAGGTCAGATTTAGCACATTCATTTTATTGTTTCTGATTTTTAGTTTTAAAAACATTTGTAGAAAGGGTCCAGGCAGCTGGAAGAAGTCAGCCGGTATCTAAAGAGCACTGTAATGCTCTTTAGCCTGTAATGTTAATTAGTATCAGAATGTAAAATGCTTCCTCCCCCAGGTGGCTTGCTGTGGCTGGTGTGTGTCCTCGTGTGCTAGCTGGTTGTGTTTTTGCTAACAAATACTGACTCTGTGACTTTGTTAATGCTTACTGAGCATGACACCTGATATCCCCTGCCCTCCATTCTGTCAGTCAAGGCCACTGTTCAGCATTCATTTTGGTTGGGTTTCACATTTCTACAAATCTTAGAGGATAGAATGACAGGGGCAGATCCTGTGGGATAATCCCAACCCCCAGGGGGAGCCTTACCTCTGTGTTTCACTATTCCTCCTTCTTTGTGATAGTGTCTTTGGAAAAAACTTAGTTTCTCAACACACCAGCTTCCTAAAATGTGGGAGAAAGGAAGCCACGAGAGCCAAGTTGGGATGGTGTACCACCTAGAAGCCCACTTTGTCCCAGCCTGGGTTTAGGGAATAGAGGTAAAGTACTGTGGGAAGGAGCCAGCCTGGGCTTAGCTTTCTCAGGCATTATATGCTTCTGGCTCAGGTGGGTCTTTTGTGAAGAAGGTGCCTCTGCAGTATGCAATGTCTAATTCGAGTGGTGCTGAATTATATGTCTTTCAGTTGACGACAGCAGTGACCAGTGCCTTTTTACTAGCAAAAGTGATCCTCTCAAAGGTATGTCCTAAGACTTTTTCTGAATAATACCACCTATAATGACAAGACCTCTTTTTCCACTGTAAGCTCATAATAACTGTTTCCCTCTGCTGGTCACATCTGTTCTTCCAGCTTTTCTCTCAAGGAGCTTTTGGTTATGTGCTGCCCATTATTTCATTCATCCTTGCCTGGATCGAGACATGGTTCCTGGATTTCAAAGTGTTACCTCAAGAAGCAGAAGAAGAAAACAGTAAGTTTGTCTCAAAATTATCCTTCTGAGACTGGCTAGATACTTAGCTGGATTTGCATGGAGCTGCAAGTGGGTGGAGTTAGGTGGATTATGATGTCTCCTTTGTTTAGTGGGTATAGCAGAAATCACAAGAAGGGTTGGATGAAAGGATAGTGACAAAATGTGACTCCTTTCTCCAGCTGTCAGACCTGGCTTCCTTAGAAGTGTGAACACTGGTGAGAAACTCATTCAAACAACAAAAATAGCCAATACCTCTTTCTCCTCAAACAGGTCAATTTTTTTTCTCCCTGTTACTGTTACCCTCAGGTCACTAGTCACTTTGTGTATCTAAACAGAACTATTATCTAGGGACAGAGAAATATAAGACCGGTCCAGGGGAGCTGAGTCAGCAGTTCTAAAAGTCAGTGATTCCCCAGAGTTTCACATGGCTATTCACAGAGCTAGTGGCTTTGAATGGGCTACAGTTAGAACGGTTGAGTGCCTAGATATAACTGTTGGGTTAATGATGAAGATGGAGTTTGGGAAGAGGAAATAGTAAGCCTTGAAGTGCTCAACCACCTCAGGCGTTCACTGTCCTCCTCTGAGTAGTTGAGTGAGAGTCAGCATTGCAGAATTGTGAGTCCTGCCAAAGCTGTTGTAATCTCCCTGTGTGGCTTTGAGTGTCCCTGAATGGAGTAGGAAGGCTGAATAATTCACTGAGCTTTATGACTGATTATTGGGCTGGAATTCTTTTCCCAGTAGTGGCCTTAGCGGGAGCCTGCATACCCCACTCACCCTCTTGGAGGTGACATGAAGCAAGCTCAGCACAAAGACGTAGACAGATTTAAGGCATGCTGTCTTTTATGCTCTGTCAGTCATCTGGCTCTATTTGCTCTGCCTAATAGGAAAAAAAGTCTTGTGTCTTATGTAAAGTTAAACATGATTATAACCTCAAGGCACAGCAGAAGGACAAGTAACCTTGAAAATGACTTTCTTTTGGAAAATCTCATTTACAAAAAAGAAATTTCTAAGAAAAGAATTATTTAAGAGTAGGTTTTAAACCATGTTAATCGGACCAAGCCGTTTCTGTCTCCTGCCTTTGTAACCAGAAGACACCGGCATTTGGGCTACCTGTCACTACCAAATCCAATAAGCAGTGACAGTGATTGAATCTTTTATAGGCACTTTATTCAGAGGGCCAGTGATCCGAGAAGATGGCGGGTTCATACCCTAACAAACCATCTTGCCTTCTCTTTCCTGGCCAGATCTTTTATAAGGGAGGTGGGGGAGGACAAATGGGCTTTGAAATTCCAAGGGGAGGGGTAGTCGCCTGGTATGGATGTCTCCATGCAGTATCTCCAGCCAGCACCCCAGAAGGTCAGCTGTTTTTTTTTCTCAGGCACCAGATGGGCCTTATCTGTAGTTTCTGAAACAAAAAGCTTAACGTATACATTACTTGCTAGATTTATGGCTATTTACCTTAAGCTAAAATTTTCCAAGTTTTGAGTCCCCTTTCACCTTCTTTTCCTTAATGAAAACATTGTGGGGGAGGGACCTATAAAGTTAATGGGAGTCATTTTTTAATTATATACAAAGATCAAATTGTACTTTATTGTAAACAGAACAACTGTTAATGTGACTGAGGCCTGAATATTTATATGATTAAACCAAATTTAAAATAACTAATAAAGCAGAACACATAATTTATGAAAAAATTTACAGTAGCGTTTATTTTCATTATCTGTAGCACATTTTACATACATACCTGATTCCTGCTATTTGGCCTGGTGCATTGTCCGACTTTTTCTTATTCTTAACTCAGCTTTGGTCAAAAGAACTCATTATTGATGGCCTCTCTCATCAGGTGTTAGTGTTCTTGAGCTATCCACATCATGGTTCCTTTTCTTCTGTCTTTTTTTTAATACCTTTCTTTTCTAAGGACCTTTTTAATGGATAAATACTTCACCATCTTAATTACTCTTTTTATATTTATAAAAGTCTGTTCCTTTCTTATGTTTCACATCTGGCTTTTCTCCAACCAAATATAGACTATAGGCCATTTGTACAAGGTGACCAAGTTTTGAATTTTGCTTTGTGTTTTGATTTTGATACTATTTCTGTAGGGAGGATATATTCTCACATGAAGATGCTATAGATACTGAAAGAATCGAATGAGTAATGAGGCAGTTTTTAAAAACTTGTTGCAATCTGTCCCTACAGCACAGATTCATAGTTTACTAATAAAACTTACTTTTTGGTTAAAAGATTTTTAAAGTACCTCTTTTTGGTAAGAGTTTTTAAAAATATGTAATATTAACATCATTTTATTGTGGTTACTCCTGCATAGAAGCTACCCGAACAAATATCTCATACCTCTCAGCATCTGAATTTCTTCTCTTTCAGGACTCCTGATAGTTCAGGATGCTTCGGAGAGGGCAGCACTTATACCTGGTGGTCTTTCTGATGGTCAGTTTTATTCTCCTCCTGAATCTGAAGCAGGTAAAAAAAATTGAATTATCATTTGTGTTTTTGTGCATTACTCAAAAAAAAATGCATGCCCTCTCTCTCTGTCCTTCTACTTCTCAAAACACTTAGCAAACATTTAACATACCAGGTTGGGATATGAGAATAACTGAGAAATGGCCTTGATATGTGGTCAGTGGTGACAGAGATATAAAAATAAATGTAATAGAGTGCCAGAGACACTGAGTCTTGTGATCTGCATCTCAGAAGACAAGTGGATAAAGACAAGGGACTTGATGTTCTCTTACCTGTCACCCCATAAACTGACCCTCCCTCAGGTTCTTCCATGTCTTAGAATTTCCCAAGTCAGAAACCAGAGCCTCCCTGGGAACTCCACCCATTTCTTGGCTCACATCCCATCATTAACCAAACCATTTTGACCCATTTTATTTCTGCCTCTTTCATTGCATTCAAATTGTACCACTTAATTTTGTCCTGAACGTCAATACCTTTTTTGCCTGTTTCTTCAACAGCCTCTCTGCCTTAGTTGCTTTCTCACAACCAGCCGCCAGAGTGCAGTGTTAAAAATAACAACTGCATTGTTCTAAGTCACAGGTGGGAAACACAGGCCTGCGGGCAGAATCCGGCTGGCACCTTGTTTCTACCCAGCGGCAGTGCTGAGACCTCTCACTTTACTGTTAAGGAGTAGTTACATTTATACAGTCCTAAAATGACATTTAGCCCTTTGAAGGCAACCTTGAGGCTGATGTGGCCCCTGGTGAGAATGAGTTTGACACTCCCGTAAGTATTCCTCATCACCACCCTGATGTAAGGTCCCATTATCCCTATTTCAGAGATGAGTGTATTGAGGCAAGAGAGGTGAAGCAATTTGTCCCACCTCACACAAAGAATAAGAGGTAGAGCTAAGATTTGAACCCTGACTCTAGTGCTAGAGTCCTCACTCATGGCAAATAAATACACAGCTTTTTAATATTAATAAAAAATAAAAATTGATCACATAATTGCCTTGCCCAAAAGCCTTCAGTGACATCAAGGATTAAAAAAGTCATGAATCCTTAGCATGGCAGAACACACTTGTATGACCACGCTTACCCATTGTCCAACCTCTCCGTTTGTCACTTCCCTTGTATTCTGTTCTTAGTTTTTTTGAAAATACTGTGTGGCAAACCCTCTCAAGCCATTGTGCATCTTGCTTTTCTCTGTCCTTAGCACTGCATCTCTGAAATTCTAGTCTCCACTCATGATTTCAGAAGGATTCTCCTCATCCCCCACCTACCCCCTGGCTCCTGGCAGTGGTGGGCAATGCATCCTCTCCCTTTGCCTGGTCTTTGGAACCTGTCCCACAATCCTGTCAGTCATCCTGGGTTGTATGCACGGTCTTCAGCAGTGGCTTGGCCTGTTTCTGTCACTGGGATATGAAATTCAGTTTGAGGCTGCATTATTTTATTCCCAGCATTAGGCTTAGTCAATATTTTAAACACATGCACACATATGCACAGTGTAGTGAAACACACTCCAGACAAAAGAGACCTGTGGAGATCAAAGGCACAGCAATGAGACAGCATATTAGGGGAACTTGATGTTACTTGATACTCTGGACTATTTGTGTTGGATCTAAAAGCAGTATAAAATACAGAAGCATAGAGTCAGATGATATAAATATATGGATTGGCAGAAAAGCTATTTCTCAGTTAGCAGAAACTATTAGAATAAGTATTAAACTTTTCATTACTTTGTTATAAGGATTATTTCATTGAGACTTTTGCTAGTCATAGAACTCATTCCTTTAAAAAAAAGTAGGTTTTTTTGCACTGTTGTTCATGCTTTTGTATTGCTTTAATTTTTCTAATACTAATAAAATTTCTCAGTAATAATGTATTTTCCTAATTAGGAATTAGGAAAATTCTTTTCTGAATTACTAATTAAGATAATAATATGAGGAATACTTCTCAAACATTGTTCAGCAAATAATCTATTGGTTACCTGCTGGTGACTTTTACTACCACCTAGTGGTAGTTGGAAATATTACTGTTTCATTGGTTCATGATACTGAAGAACAACAGTTTCATAGTGTTCCCCTGGGGAGCCTCTAAGACAAAATGCAGATTAGTAGTGGCCAGAGGAGTGTTTAGAATGGCTTTATTTATTGTATGATATTGTATATCATATTATGTTCTATTATTTTATTGTCTGAACACTCAATTTAGAAAGAATTAAAATGAAAAATTATTGTAATCAGTGTGCCTAGAAAAGAAGATATTCTACTCTCAAGTTTTCTTATGAGCACAGTAGCTATGTATTAAACAGTTTTTCAGAAGCAGAAGTTGCAAGCTTCCTTTGTCCTGATACAGCTCTGATTGGGCCCTAATGATAAGAGGGCACCTGGGCCTGCCTGCCTTTTCTTATCTTGCTTTTTCTAGCACCTAGTACAGTGCCTGGCACCCAATAAACTTATAAATGTTGAAGGAACAAATGAAAATAAGAGAGAAAGGTACTGCAGGCATTAAGACTTATAATGTTAGCATTTTTCCTTACAAAGAAATGACTTGAATTTTAGTATCACAAAGATTTGGAAAATTAGCATATTTTAGTAGATATACATTTAAAGGATATAAAGGTGGTTTGTTTGCAGGTTTTCCCCTGGTCTAGCCATTTCCTGTTTGCCTGTATATTAAATGAAAAGACTGGTGAAGCACAGTCCTGTCTCAGGTGATAGGGTTGAAATTGTTACTTGTGCTTAGACAGCTTAACTAAAGTAGTTGTGATGCTGGGGACAAGTAATCCATTACCTCCTAAATCACTGAAACACTGACTTAAAATGAAGAGTACCTCAATTGCATAATACAGGATGGGGCTAAAGTAGGTTCACAGTTCTTTGTATGGGAAATAATACAAAAATTAATAAATAATAATACAAGAATGAACTGTTTCTTGAACTTACAACTGTAAACCTACTTTTGTCCCACCCTTTATAATCTGTGCTGAAAAAATTTAGATGAAGGCATTAAAATTTGAATTTAACTCTTACTAAAAGTAACTATACATTTCGGTTTGCCTGCGACAGTCTTGGCTTGCTCCTGTGGCCCCAGGTGATCATTATTAGAATTCCTCTTATTTTATTAGAAGGTTCTTGTTTAGATCGTCAGTTATATAGTCATCCTATGTATAGCAATAGACTGGAAACACCATTTTTTCACTTTTTCATTAAAATTTTGGAAATTATTGAAAAATCATAGTTGAAGATACTAGGTAACATTCATTGTTAAATATTTTTTAATATTTTTTGTTGAATGTATGGGGTTACGGGTTTCAAGTGTACAACACTATAAAACATCTACACACTGCATCATACACCCATCACCCCAAGGAAAGTCTCTTTCCATCCCCATTTTCCCCCACTTTGTCCACCTCTACTCAGCCAACTCTTCTACCCTCTGGCAATAAGTATAATGTCTGTGTCTATGTGTTATGTATATATCTATATTTATATTTATATCTATATCTATAGATCTATCTATCTATATGTTTATCTCTTTATCCCTACCCATTCTTTCATCCAAGCACCCTTGCCCCTTCCCCTTTCACAGCTGTCAGTCTGTTCTATGTGCCCATGCCTCTGTTTCTACTTTTTTTGTCAGTTTATTTTGTTTATTAGATTTCACATATAAGTGAGATAATATGGTATTTGTCTTTCTCTGACTGGCTTATTTTACTTAGCAAAGTGATCTCCAGGTCCATCTATGCTGTTGCAAAAGGTAAGATTTTTTTTTTGATGGCAGAGTAGTAGTTCATTGGGTAAATGTACCACAGCTTTTTTGTCCACTCATCTGTTGATGGGGACTTGAACTATTTTCAGAACTTGTGTATTGTAAATTATGCTGAAATGAACACAGGGGTGCAAATATTCTTTTGAATTAGTATTTCAGGTTTCTATGGAAGATCTCTGGGTCGAAAGACAGATCTATTTTTAATTTTTTGAGGCATCTCCATACTGCTTTCCACAATGGCTGTACCAGTCTACTTTCGCACCAACAATGTGAAAGCGTTCCCCTTTCTCCACATCCTTACCAACACTTGTTGTTTCTTGATTGATTGTAATAGACATTCTGACAGGCCTAAGGGTGATATCTCATTTTTTTTAATTGCATCTCTCTGATGATTAGTGACATTGAGCACTTTTTCATATGTCTGTTGTCTATCTGTATGTCCTCTTTGGATAAGTGTTTATTCAGGTCCTTTGCCTAATTTTTAATTGAGTTGTCTTCCTGGTGTTGAGTTGTACAAGTTCTTTATATATTATGGAAATTGACCCCTTACCAGATTTATCATTAGAAAATATGTTCTCCCATTCACTGGTTCCCTTTTCATTTTTTTGGTTTCCTTTGCTGTACAAAAGCTTTTTAGTTTCATGTAGTCCTATTTATTTAGTTTTTCCTTTGTTTCCCTTGCCCTAGGAGGTACATCAGCAAAAGATACAGCTCTGACAGATGTCTGAGATTTCACTGCCTATGTTTTTTTCTAGGATTTTTATGGTTTCACAAATTACATTTAAGTCTTTTACCCACTTTGAGTTTATTTTTGTATATAGTTTAAGTTGGTGGTCTAGTTCCATTATTTTTTATGTGCCTGCCCAGTTTTCCCAGTAGCGTTTATTGCAGAGACTGTCTTTACTCCGTTGTCTGTTCTTGCCTCCTTCTCAGTAATTGACCATATAGACATGGGCTGATTTCTGGGTTCCGTTCTGTTTGTGTGTGTGTGTGTGTATGTGTGTGTGTGTGTGTGTGTGCGCGCGCGCGCGCACCTCTTATGTCACTAGTGGACTGTTTTGATTACAATATTTAATTACAAACTTGGAGTATAGGTTGATTTCAGGCATTGTGATACCTCTAACTTTGTTCTTCTTTCTCAGATTGCTAGAGTTATGGGGCGTCTTTTGCAGTGCCATATAAATTTTTGGAATATTTGCTCTCAATTTCTTTCTTCATTTTCCTATAGTTTTCCAAGTACCACTTTGG